TGAATGTTGGGATAGGTGTTGTACTTTAACCATACCCAGGGGTTGTAAAGGTGCAGTCATGATGGCTAGACTGCCTCATTTAGAATTGGCCACCTAACCTCACAGCTTTATCAAACAATGTCTGCTAACTGAGGTTAAACCCCTCCTCCATTTTGTGCAATTCTTTCCAACATCTACAATTCAAAAGACTACATTCACGCAATACCAGTTGGTGCAAGCTATTATTTAATCTTTATTTAAAGGGGATCTATCATGCAAAATGCACTTTTGTACGTCTTTTATACATGAATATGTGTCCCCGGTGTTCCAGGGAACTCACCAAGTGTCAGAAAACACAACCCTCTCTATTTTCCTCCATACCCAAATCTCTAAAAAAGGGGCTGCAACGGATCTGATAAAAACTGATCCAGATTTGAACACTGTCCTGACGTCAGGACAGTGGCGCTACGGCTATTGGCCCAACTCCACCAATCAGGAGGAGACAGCCACGGCCATTGCCGTTCGAAAGCGCTGGAGACGCTGTAGTACATAGGCCAGGCCTGTAGGTGGTGCTGTTCTCACAGAATCAGCCCTTGCAAAAACAGGGCTAAAAAAGTGCAAATAGAGTGGCGAAGTCCCTCCCCTTCCGGTTGAGCCCCATGGGACCTTATTTCGTTATGCATTGAAGTCAATGGAGAGAGAAAGATTATCTTTCGATCCCGTTTGAATTGTGCCACGAATTACACATATGATGTTTGTCAATTTAAAAGATAATTTTGCAAGTAAAAAAAAAATAAATGTGTCGTAAAACTGTGAAGTAACACATTTGTTTGTGTGAAACGCTAAATGAACTACATCTCTGGTCAACCACACACGTCACCAAGATGGCCGTCACTACTGTCTTGTCAACAAACGATTGACTATCACCACAATGAAACACGTCCTGAAGAATGTCATGCAAAGCTGCCTGCCTGCCTTCCTTTGATTCTCTCTGAACTGCCTGGTCGTTTTAATGTTTAATGTCAACCATTTGTGCAGATAGCATGAAGTAGAAAAGATCGCCGATGCTAACGTTAGCGTTAGCATTTCTCCCCCGGAATTAAATGGTGTATTATAGAATGATCACACCGGTGACAGTACTATTCAAAGGGTTCACGAAATATGACTACTACTCTTACTGTTTAACATTTTGGGTTACTTAATGTTACTTCATGTTAAGGCTAATAAAAATGACAAGGCTGTAATGCTAACTAACGTGCTATCTACTAGCTAGGTAGCTAACTCGATCAAGCCACTCCTGGTCGTTTCATCAGACGGGAAGCAAAACAACGAGCAAGACCCATTGCTGGTATAATAACAACCTGGTACTAAGCACACAGGCATCTTGTTAAAGTTATCTTATCTTAGCCAGCGCCATATAGATAGATTATATCTATATTGCGCTGATCTTAGGTATCTGAATGGTGGAGGTAAACAATTGTGACATCACTTACGCGACTCTGGGATTTGTAGTCTTTCTAGTTACGTATTTTTCATAGTCTTATATTTCAACAGTTTTACGACAAACTGTGACTTTTTTGACATGGAAATGATTTTTTAAGATTGACAAACATCATATGTGTAATTCATGGCACAATTCAAACGGGATCGAAAGATAAGTTTTCTCTCCCCATTGACTTCAATGCATAATTTTTCCGAAATAAGGTCCCATACCCCGGAAGTAAGTGGGAGGGACTTCGCCACTCTATTGAGCGAAATGAGGCATGGCTAAAATGCATGATCTGTTTGGTATTTTGAAAAAAAAAAAGTATAATTATATTATTATAATATAGCATGATAGGTCCACTTTAAGTACAAGAACTTAAAACACATGGGACAGCCTATTATTCTCTTTGATATATAGGCAACTTGAATATAAAATGTATATATCAATGTTTTCCAACTTATAACTTCAGGATCCACCCATGAGGCATGCACCATTTATTGATAAGTAATACATAGAAATACCTGAATGAGTTTAGTTTATATATTTGAGTCAATTAAACTGTGCTGTTGCTTTGGCACTATCATAATATTTGTCCTTGTGCTTATTGTGTGACCTACACTTAACCCTTGAACAATCTGTAATTGGATCATAAATGCAATGTTTAATCATTCTGCCCTTTTAGCTGATGCACATAAATCACAAGACATGACACGAATCATTACTATTGATACAAAAACACAACCCTGTGCGATGAAAGGTTAAAAAAAGTAATGTCATACAAGTTTTGAGCAATTTTGGTGACGTGCAGCAAGTAAAGACGTGTTTTAAATGTTTCAAGATATTAAGCTGCACATCGCCCATGATACACCTTTCATGAAACATGTCCTCATATCTTATTTCTTTATTGCACCAATGTGTTCACATTGTACATGATTTATGAAAGTAATAACAGCTGGTTAACATACAGAACTAGGCTCTGTGAAATTATCTGGAAGCGCATGTTGACTCGGTTTGTCTTTTTAAAAGTTCAAAGTCAAACTCTGTTATCTGATCTGGAATCTGTTTAGCTATCATTCCTTCTGCATCGTGTTTTTAGACCAAAACTTACATGATATCTGCCATATATGAGATGTTATGCACAATGAAAGAAAGATGAGGTTGATGTTGTGTATTTAGTTATTCACTACTGTGAATTGGTGTAAGATCAATGCTCCTATAGCCAAAGCCTCATAGTTATTTGTTTAATTTGCTGTGCTAGGGATTCCTTTGATATCTTTTTGGATTATAAAGGAAAGTGTTGGAATGTCAATTGATATCATACAACATGTAGTGATTTCTGCGATTGAACACATTTAAAATACATCAAAAATGCCTTTATTATTACAAAATGAGTTAAAGGTGCAACACAATACAGCATATTCACTGAAGCAGTAAACAAAACAACAGTGACACTTCATCAAAAGTCTAATTATCATTGTTAAACATGTATTCTGATATGTTCCTCTCTGCAGGTGGTGCTCGGTCCTCTCATCGCCATCGCTCTGAAGATCTCCAACGTCCATGAGAGGACTGGGCGCCGTGGTCCTAACGTCATCACATGAGCAACCAGGAAAACTCACAATCACATGCACGCACACAACTAACTGCTCACACAGACATAACACATTTTCCTTTACCCTCTGCCATTTTGAAAAGTCCTTTTTGTGTAGCTTCATAGTCATTTTTATTCTTTAAATGAAACTTGATGGGGTTATTTCGCTAAAAAAGCACAATGTTTTCTCAATTGTTTATAGACCACTAACATATGTCAGCCATAGAAAACACCAGTCTAAACCAGGGAGGTTCTTTCATTATTGCCATGAATAAATAATGAAAATTAGCAAACAGAAAACCTTTATGATTGTGCAGACTTACTGTTAATGTTTGTAACTTGCAGTTGAAAAGACTTCTTGGCTAAGGGCAGCCTTAGATACTTTTTTAAATTCACCATGCTGTTTTTGTATAAAAGTGCCGTGTTCACTTGTCATTTAGCTTGTATACCTGTCCTGTCATATTATGTAATTTTCTTTAACCATTTCATGCAGAAATAATCACTTGTCTAAGTGTAAAATAAAACATGTCAAGCATAAAACCTAATCAGTGAATTGATTTGCAATTAGTTTATGTTTGATATAAAATAACGTGAATGCTCGATGAAGAAGCGGGAGGATGTTAGACTATTCAAAATGTAAGATAACCAAGTGAGCCCAGAGGCAATGAAAAAGAAAATATATATTTGAAATATTTTTGCTAATCTGGCATTATTTTAAATGTATCAGTTTATGCCTTTCGGGAATGCTGTATAACCATATTTGAATATATCAATTCCTTTCTTTTTTAATCCAAATAAACTTTTTTTGTGTGTAGCATGCATCTTTTTTAAATGAATTGGACAGGTTTAATGGTGACAAATTAAAAAAAATCAGTGTGAGATATGATGCCTTTTGGGATTTTAACTAAACGTAGTCTTCACAAGCACCATGTTTTGCTGATATATCATGCGGTAATTGAACGTCCTTGAGGAAAAGGAAGCTTTTGTTTGTCGAACACAGCACCTGCTTTTGTGCTGAGTGTGAACGTGTTGTGTTGAGATAAGAAATAAAGAGGGCTGATCTTTAAATGGCCTGAATGAGACGCAGAGAGCAGGAACTCATAAACACACTGATTGCCGTCATTATGGGTCGAGGATATGCCAGTGGATATCCACAAGGAAACGTTCACTCAGTCAGCCATTACAGCTTATTGCCCCACCCAACCGTTTTATATTGTCAGGATTATTCCTGAGGATCGATGCCAGTTTATCACCTTTGAATGTGTCACTATGAAGACGTTACACAGTAGCTGGAATGTGTTAGAATCTAGTCTCTAATTGGCAGGGGCATGCTTACATGGATACAGTCCTTTAAAGTACGTGGCAATTTAAATGCTGCCAACAACCCCCCCTCTTCTTTATAGTATGCATGAACATCAACAAGCTGTGAAGGTGCAGAACATTGTTATCTTTACTACGCTGAACTTTTCAACTAAGGTACAGGTGGTGCTTTAGAGAGAACCTGTAATCTATTAAAACTGTTTCTTTGAAAATATCAAAGTCAAGCACATTTACCACACAAACACATTCTGCACAGACTGAAAAGTCTTGTTTGCTTCGCACGTCTGTGGGAAAACTCCTGTTTTATATTTGCAAACCGGTTGTCTGTCCCTGACGTGTAGTGCTGGGAACGAAACTCTTCATGTTTTCTGTTCCAGCCAAGAATAATTATTATAATAATAACTTTGTTCTATTTTGTACAATTTGGACGTTTTATCTGGAATGTTTTATCCTTCAGTGTCCAAAAGAGGTTTATCATCTCAACAAGACTTGCCTGGTAAAGGGAACTTTGTTTACATCTTGAGAATCAGCTTATACATCTTGACAACTCAGCTGTTTAAAATATACAATTTATTGTAGATTTAACTTTGATTTACATTGACATTATATCAGGCAGACTGGTGACAACATTTACTTTTAAATGATTCTTTATGAACAATTGTTAATTAAAAATTGTCTTGAGGAAGGGGAGAATAAATTATCATTATTTATATATATTATAAAAAATAAGTCTAGCATAGGTTGGCGATATATTGAGAAACACATTTTATACAAGCAGCCCTCAGCTTCCTTCAGTCCTATACAAACAGTTGTATTACTCTTGTAATAATTTAAAAGTATACACATTTAAGCTACAGTGCAGGTAAAAGTCAGTGCTGTTTGTCAATTCAGACATCCATGGATCCAACTGCATAAATACTGTCCTCGGTTATTTGTCACACCACCAAGCAGCAACTCCAATGTGCAGCTCATCCTTACTTTAGGAAACCAGAGACTCGAAACAGAATCACCTGTTAGTGCTCTGCAGAAACAGGCCTGCAACTCTGTGTAGGGTCAGCACAGACTTCAGAAGTTGGGTGTAGACTGATGGCCCAAAGGTGGTATCAACATGTCTCGGAGTTTCTTCTAGAACGTTCTCTCTCGTCCCAATCAGGAAATAATGTCTATCTCCATTCCTGCATTTCTCCCAGCCAGTTAGATCAAAACATTTCTTCCCTTCAGTGCTCGGCCACGGCCTCCCTCTGCCCCCCTGCGTCCCCCTCCCCCTGCTGAGTACGCTCCACCTGACTGTATGGAGGAGGCAGCTCCCTGCTCCACCTGCAGTCTGTAGGGTCCGAGCTGTCCTGGCTGTACAGAGGGGGGGCGAGGCTCATCACCACCTCCACCCCGTCAACCACAACAACAAACTCCGGCGCTGAATCAGGACCCTCCTGGCTGCCCTGGGACTCCTCGTAGGATGGAGGGAAGGAACTTGGTCTAGGGGGAAACACGTATAAGACATCAGGGGCATTATTGAAGTTTGGTTTTAATAATACATTTTAAAGCTCATTGATTAGCAGACAAAAGAACAGTGAATTTAGAGTAGCAGGATACATTTGATCTGTTTCATCTGGCAAGATGTAATATAAAACACACTATAAATATATAATAATAGTTAAAAAGACATTTGGGATAATCAACAAACAGTATGTAAGAAATGTTATTGACAAAAAGCAAACATTTATATAGTGTAAAACAAACAGTGCAGTCTATGGAATGGAAGAGTGACTTTACTTTATAGGTTTGATGTGTTTTTTAACAGTTACAGTAAATATTTTACAATTGGGTATACTTGAGGGTTTACCTTAGTAAAATATACTCATTGTGCATTCAAAGGTCCATGTCTAATGCAGTACATAATTATAAGATGTTTGGATTTACTTTAAAAACGATTGGTTGCTTGTTTTATCTACAGTAATGGATCATACAAATATTGCCCTTTTTTTGTTCAGCTGCGTGACAACTTCTTAACTAGCTTGTTATTCTTAAGAAGTTAGACAAATATTTTTATCTGAAAAGGGTACATTTCATCACAAACATTAACAATCACCACATCCTTGAGATGTTTTTCCATTGACAGGATAGGAATGAAATATAAATAAATGTACTTTCACTGGCCCAAATATTAAGACTAAAGGTTGCCATTTTCTCAAATGAATTTGAATGTTTTAAGATATTTCTTTTTCCATAAAGGCCGCTTTGTTGCTCTGTAATTTCATTGAAAGTAAATAGGCCATTGACATTTTGTTGTTGTTGTGTGTCTGTAGCTACAGGGGTAGGAGTCTTACCTCTGGATAGTGTAGACCTCCATGTGCTGTTCATGTCCTCCTCTCTGGTACATCTTGCTCTTCATGCTGTGGCAGATGCTCCAGAAGACTCCGATGAGCACAGCTAGGACGCCCATCAAAATCATGAAGTAGGCAAGCATGACCTTCAAGGTGTACTTGTGCTCGATCTGCAGGGACACCAGGTAGGCCCCGATGCAGGTCAGCACACACCCCACAGCGAGCAGGGCCATGCGGGCCAGGGACCACAGCTGCTTCCTCACCTCTGTTATCATTTTAGCCCAATTCTTGCTTCTTTATTGAAGTGTTCAGGTTCCCTGTTCTTCTTGTTCCTGTCTTCTGATGGAGAGATACACTGATGGCAGGCGGGAGGTTTTGTGGTTTAATCTCCTTAGTACCTGTTCAGGGTTTAAAAAGTTCAACCTGGAGTAAATCCTCCTACCAAGTTTGAGTACCAACAAGTTGCTGTTGAAGGTGTCTGAGAAAATGTCTTTGCCTCTCCAGACATGAGGGGAGGCGGCTGGGATGTTCCTGCCTCCTCGGTTGTATATTAACACAGGCTGATAGTTGATTCGGCAACAGGATGACCATAGACTGAACTTCATTATAGAGCGGTGTGTATTCAAACCTCTTCCTTTTGCGTGGTGAAATCATTTTAAATCATTATTCGTTTATGGTTGAATAAAATAAAATATGCTTGGTGCCATATTGACTGTGTATATGCACACAATTGATGTAAAATAGATTTATGATGCTGCAAACAGGAATGAAATGATTTACAGTACATCCATGTCAAAGTCTTTCAATAATGTCAAATGTTTCAAATCTATAATTCAGCCCAACCTCACTGCCAAATACTATAACGAGCCATATTACAAATAGACCAACAACTCCAGTGGAACATTTTGTTTGCGTTATCTCATATTGGTATTATTCCACTGCACACACTGGACTAATTCTAACTTTTAAAAAAACAACCAAAACAATACAATTAAATAGATTTCAAGCAGGTCTATGAACATCCAAGTAGGGAAATTCCTTTTTAATTTAATGGATGGTCTTTAGTCATGTCGGCCAGCTGATAAAATAGCTGTGTTGCACAACGTGTCTCTTTGGCCCAGCACAGTGGATTGGATACAACATTTGTTAGCATGTGTAACTTCTCCAAATGCCCTGCATGTTGTTTGGCCTTGATGCTTATACCAAGCTGTAATGTTTAAACTTATTTACAGTTTATAGTATGACTTCCTTGTTACATAAAGCTGAGTAATAAAATAAGGGGTTGAAGGGCCACACCTGGAACAAGGTCAGGTGCTGAAAACATATATTCTTATGTTTACCATGAAGACACTTGTTGATCTTTTCTTGATCATCCTCCTAAGTGTAGGTGTTGCATACATTTATATGCACATGGACTGGATATGTTTTTGTTGTGCTGCATAGGCTGCTTCGAGTGTTGTTTTATTATGGAATATACTACAACATTTACTGTGTTTTGTGGATGGTTCTCTAAATGTACACAAATCTTAAGCTTTGCAAAGACGGATAGCATGCAGACAGTATTTAAACAATGTAAAGAAATTGTAAATGCAAAAGAAAATATATAATTATATTCTGATTCATGACATATGCAACTCTTTTTCCTTTAGTCTTTTGCTCTTTGCACCTGGCTCATATAGGTCAGCATTATCATAACTCATCATTTAATAGGGCTTCATTATGAGTAGGCCAATCTTGGCTGGCATTATTCATGAAAATAAATGCTTGTTGTGAATGCAGCACATTCATTTGAGCTCTTATTGGCACTCTGAGAGTTTAATGGTGTAATGGTTTTATGGGCCTTATCAGTGTTATCAATGTGGAGTTAATCCTCTGAGCTCAGCTTGGGTAGTATCTAGAAATGGCTCCAGTGTTTCTTTTTCGACAGGTTAACACACCCGTGTGTCTGATGCCCATGTGAGATAGAATATTGGCTTCCTAATTGGCAGAAAATACCAAGTAATGTGGCACTTATAACTGTTAAGTTGGTTATAAATCTTTGTGGCTGCACATTCAGCAGTCTGATGTAGCATGCAGTGCCCTGAGATGGCAAATTGTGATACTTTAATACAGGAGGCATTTCATTGATGGCACGAATGAGCTAACATGTAAGAGAAAAGAAAAGAGCAGAATCATTGCAATATGCCGCATTGACAGTATTTAGCAAAGCGTCAGCAAATAATCAGAAACAAGTGTTCACCTGTGATGTAGTGTGATTTTCATCTGGGAATGCATTATTGCTCATGGGGATTTCAGTGTCTGTTCATCATAACAGATCCACTGTAGGTGAGAAATGCTATTTCAAAGTGTTTTATCTCTGTTTCTCTGGAGGCTTGTTTTATTTGTGTAAAATGACTGTACTGTATGCAAGTGTGTGTTTGGGCCTGTGTGACCTCATTGTCTCTCGTTGGTCTTATATGCACCTGTTTGAGCCCTGCTGAAAAGTGGGGGGAAAACCGGAAGAAATACTGATGGGGACCCTCATTACCGGCGCCACAGTCTCATTATAAGTCCATCATTAACAGATTAGGTGACATTATCTCTGGTATTACAGCTTTACAGCTACTCCACACAGTAGCTGTTTAATTACAGTTTTTCAGTGCAAAGCATGTCGTATTATATGGATACAGTACCATTGTTGAATATTGTCCCCCATCTCTAAACCTTCAAATTAAGCACTCCCTTACCCTCACATGCACACACACACACACACCTTCCTTAAGAGCTCATTATTGAGTGATAATTATAGACAGAGAGAGACAGCGAGCCATTAGTTGTGAGGGAAGGAGTGAAGGGTCCGTTATTAATCAGCTGGACTGATGGGGACCTGCCATCCCCTCCGTCATTAATACACATCAGGGTCACACTGCACACTCAGCAGTACACAAGATCTCTCATTATAGGTTCACTAAATCTGCATAGAAGACACACAAAGAGCAGGTGTATATCCATTTTGAAATTGTTTAGATGATTGCATGTACATGGTTAGTTTATGCAGTGGTTATTTGCAGTAGTATTACCATGAGAGGTCCAGTGGGGGCGATGTTGCATTATTTTCTTTCACTATAGCCAGTGACTGGTGAGCAAAAGCCAAGCAGCACGGCCTGGTAAAAGAAAAACTATTCAATTAGGGAAAATAAAGATATAAAACGATGGTATTTTCTTCCCTCACAGTGGGTGCATCATGTGGTGTAAAGGTTTCTCCCAGTCCTTCAGTCACACATGATACTTTAATATGATCCATTTGTAGGCAGGCTGAAGGTTCCAGCCTGCCTGGTTTCGATAACCATGATGCTCTGTTTCACTGGGGATTGTGGTTTTGATTTTCTCTCATTTTGTCATACATTATAAATCCTGTGTTGGATTACATCTTTCTTCTGTAAAACCATTCAAGCCGTGGTGTTACTTTATCATTTAGGAGATGCTTTGAAAGATAAAAGAGATATCTTAAATGTGAGCAGTGTGTGAAGAAAAAGAAAATAAAGGGAATGGGGGGGAGAAGAAAATATGCAAAAATGAGGGAACGGAAGGTTTTAAACTTGTCAAACTTTCACTCCCACCGTATTCTTTGTGTTTCGTTTTCTAAGTGGCTCTCTTACGTCTCTTCCCATGTCTGTCCTCTGGTGTTTCATGTGCTCTTGCCTGTAGTAGCTGTATAAACCCTCGCAGTTGTCTGGACTAGCCTAGGCAGGAGGGGATCAATGAAGAGATCGATAGGGTCCCTGGGAGTCCTAATAGCCCTGTTACTGCTCCCTGACTCCCTGCCTGGCTGCCTGATACAGCAGCACACTGGGGGCTAAGCACAGTGTGTGTGTGTGTGTGTGTGTGTGTGTGTGTGTGTGTGTGTGTGTGTGTGTGTGTGTGTGTGTGTGTGTGTGTGTGTGTGTGTGTGTGTGTGTGTGTGTGTGTGTGTGTGTGTGTGTGTACAACCCCTCGCTGAGTCTGTACTTACACTCATGTCATGATACAGCAAAACAAGTTCTGTAATTGTGCCTATCGATGGAGCTGATGGCTGAGGGTGATCTGTGTGTGCTATAGGAGGGCTTCTACTGTGTTCCCTTTCAGTCTGCAAAACATGTTCCCATGAAGAAAGGAACAGCTGGCAAACCAGTGATGGAAAAACCTTTGTAGTGTACTTAAGAAGTAGGGATGTGGAGGTTGGTCTGGTGTGCAGCACATATGACTTTCCTGCAGGAGAATGCTTTTTACCAAAGTCTTTCCCAAACCTTAACTGTACTGTATTTGCCAGGTGCAAATTATGTATGAAGTTGGCGTAAGATGCACAAGAAGTGTCACTGCTTATACTGTGAAAACAGCTGAAGAGTACAATGTATTTTGAGGCGCTGGAAGGTACTTTTGGATTCAAAGCCAAACTATCTAAGCCTATTCTGCATCAATTTGGATAATTTGGACCTTTCTTTGTTACATGGTACTTGATGCTACATGTGTTTCTGTAACTGTCTGTGTCTAGTCTGTCTCAGTTATTCAGTGGCTTTAGGTTACATCATGCTATTGTTACATAAATACATTAATGGAATACTGCTTACAATACTTGCTGATGTCCCAATTTTAAAGTAGAAAAAACGATATAAAGTCACCATCAGCTCCACCTGGTGTTCATTTGGTACTACTGAGGTGTACAGTGAAACGTTTGCAAACTCCCTGTGTAGTGACAAAATTCCCACTGAATTAAGTTGCTTAAGAGGCTAAGTTTGGTTCTTCATTGTGACTAGTTCCCAATAGGCAAGATAAGGAAACAATCAATTACAGCGAGACCATACAAAAGGTATCTGAGCCAAATCACCCTCTTTGTCTATCCCACGAGCCCGGCACACAACAGGTGGACTAAATACCTTAAACCAGGAAGTGACTAATTACAACGGTGTGTGGTATAAACAAATAATGATACAAATATAAATAATCTACAATGGCTGTGAAATGTCCAACTTGCAGCTGATGTAGTGAAGCCTTGTCTGCTACACCCCCACTGCCCCTTGTGTGCCTGCATTGATATTTTACACCATACAAATTAGGTTCTCACAGTATACCCACCCAGAATTAGTTGTGAAAAAGTACAATTTATCACTACTGCCAAAGCTTGCTTCTCTATGAAACACCCCGCTGATTTCCCAGATTATCAGGCTTCACACTGGCAACTCAGTTGTAGTAATAATAAACATGTGTAATGGAGGTGTGTTGGTCAGAAAATGGGCAAGAAAAAAGTGTGTCTAACATAAGTGATTTGACCATTTGTACCAATAGGATCAGTACATTAGATAAGAACGCAGTGTTTAGTTTAGTAACCAGATTTCTCTGCAGTTGGGTCATTGCTGGGTTTCCCTTCAACATCAAAAACAGATGGGGAGAAAAAAGAACTACAAATAAGCATGTGGAGGCAGCTGCATCCGAGGG